GGCTCGGGGAACGGTTGGAATCACAACGGGGGAGTAAGGTAGTCAGTCCAGGGAAAGCTGCCCAATGGACTGCGTTCTGTCCTCTTGGTTCTCCGTGCATATGGAAACATGCACGGACGCTTGGTGCAATGACTCGTAGATCAAAAAATGACAAAAGGTGCCCGCCAGGACATGAACGGAGAAAGAAAAGTGACGTTGCCAGGCACTTTCAAAAACGTGTCTCACGGCAGTTATAGCCTGACGCCAAAGACATCATGAATGCTTTTTTTTTTTTTTTCCTTTCTCAGGGAGAATGAAAATTGGCATTTTCTCAGCTGACTGCCCATGAGAAACGGGGAACATTCCAGTCCGTACCAAGTTTGAGGCACTTGGCAGTTGCGTTCTGTTTTTGGTTTTCGCAAAAAAAAGGGAAAAGAGTTTAAAACACAGAAGACTCTCGGCTGTATCTCATGTTACCTAAAGGAACTTACTATCCCGACAATATATCCTCCCTCAATTCTGGCCACGGTATGCCATTTTTTCCCGTTCTTTGTGTTCCCTCTACCCCCCCCCCCTCGCTGCAGCTAAAAAAAAAAAGAAGAACCTCGCCTCTGTGCGCCTCGATGCACTATCTCCACGTGCACAAAAGATAAAAAAGATGGCAATGTATGTTTCCATGTTCTAACGGTGGATTCAATCTCATTTTGCACATTTGGGGTGTAGTGCAGCAAGGCCCTATCTCATGTGCCTCAATGGAAACCAGTCTCCCAAGAGGTGTAAACTTCTAGTACCTTTGTCGTTTCGGAAAATAGCGGGCCACCGACCTTTCAGCAGGCCGAAACAAAACGACGGCTGTCGATTAGATTTATCAATGACAACCGTCGTCAGGCCCGGACACCGAAACAAAACGACGGCTGTCGATTAGATTTATCAACAACAACCGTCGTCAGGCCCGACCTCCAAATTCTTCAGGAGCTGGCGCTTTCCCTCATTTCTGAAGTGGCAAAGGTACAAGTGGTTACAAGAAAAACAAAAGATCTCCCAAGAATGGGCCTCGCTGCACGAGTCTCCCAGTGTGCAAAATGAGAATAAATGTTCTGCTAGAACATGGAAAGATACACCGCCATGTTTTCGTTCTTTTGTGCATGTGGAGAGTAGTGCACCGACACTCGCTGCACTACTCTCCAAATGTGCAAAATGAGACAATCCACCGCTAGAACATGGAAAGATACATTGCCATCTTTTCGTCTTTTGTGCACGTGGAGAGTAGTGCACCGACGCCCATGTGCTCATGACTCTGTTTCCCCCCCCTTTTTTTTCTGTTTTTCATTACAACTGAAAACAACAACAAAATTCTCGCCTGTATCTGCTGAGACTCCCCGTGAGAAACGGGGAGCATTGAAGTCCTGCCACGAAAGGAAAGTCAGGCTCTTTCACCCTTGCACTTTCAGAATGTATCTGACTCCACTTCTGGCCAAGCCTGGTATCGTAAACGAGTGAAAACAAGTGAAAACAAGTGAAAACAAGTGAACCACGGGCGTGTTTCGCACCAGCTTCTGGCAGCAGGTCCAGTATAAGGACCGGTACCTGTGCAGATCCCGAATCAGTTCCCGCCCGCTCAAGGCTCGGAAAATAATGGAGCACAGGGGGATTTCAGGCTCGGCATCAATAGCTGAGCGAAGTACTGGTGGTTTAAACCACCATTACCTTTCCCCACATGAAAAACAAATATGCGGCTCGTTTACGGCTGCATTTTTTGGCAAGTGTCGATGGTTTGGGCATGCGGTGTGCTGCATGCTGGAATACAATTATACAAGTACACAGTGGCACTTTTCTGCCATGTAGTTTTCAGCGCATACTCACAGTGGGGCTTTTCGTCTGTGGACGTGATTCGGGTCAGATACGTTACACGGGCCAACCCACCCCACCCTC